TTCTCCTGCTACTTCATGTATTCCTATCAGTCTTATGTTATTCTTCTTTGCATCATCTAGGAGTTGTTGGATCGATTTCTCATGATCTCTTACTGTTTTTAAGAGACCTCTCTTTTCCTGGTCATTGACTGCAATCTTATCTTCTATATCTGAGAGCCTATGTTCTCATTCTTTTATTCTGTTGCATACACTTTCAATAGAGTGTTTAATCTCCTGCATATCTGTTTGAATCTGTTTTATGGATTCCATTTCTTTCCTATGTTGGGCATTTATTTTTTCCATTTCTTATGCTGGGCCTTCATGGCTTCTATCATGGTCCTGAGCTCATCTATTTTTTTGTCAGTTTCTGCTCTAGAGTCTCGAATCACGACTTCCATTTTGCTCACTATCTCTATGGTTATCTGGGAAATTATTTCTGTTTTGAATTTTTCTAGAGCCTGATTGATCTGTTTTGTTACTTCCTGTGCTTTCAGTTCAGGGTGTCCTGGTGGTTCACTATTGGCCTTTTCATCCTCATTTGCCCTACTGTTTGCCATTGGTGAACTGGAAGTCTGTCCTTGTGTCTTGCGTAAGTGTTTTCTTATTTTAATTTTTGTTGTCGGACTGTCCTTGGTTTAATCTCTGGATTATCACCCAAATCTTCCTGATATAGTTGCCCCCTAACTTCTGTGTCTCAGAACGACCCACAGACATTCTCATCTTCATAACATCAGAGAAAACAGCTCATCAAATCAACCGCAATGCTTTATCCCAACTGATACAATCAGCGACACATTAAGATCAAGCACAACTTGGACACTGACCACCTTTGGTAGTCACTAGTCTATCACCCTTAAATCATTTGAATTAAATTGAAATCAAGAAGCAGTCCAGAACATGTCTGCAGTGAACAAAATTTCAATATAGTGTATTTACCATTTAATGGCTCAGACAGAGCGAGGATGCAAGACCCCTGATCTCAGTTAGCTGATGGCTGAACCCCATGACGCTGACTGACCTCGGGCTGCAAGGCCCAGATTGAGTTCCCCATCCTTCTGAATGGTTGAACTCCACAACATTCTATTACAGGTTTCCCACGCCCTTTCTTTAAAGATGTTCAAAGTTGGGAACTCAGAAAAATACCCTTGATGACCACCTCTGTCTTTGCAGAGTGGGTCCAAAGACTGGCACAGTCAGGAGGTCTGAGAGTGCGGGGGCTTATGGGGGTTCAGGGGCGCCCGCGCGGCTACCTTCCCTGCGCTTGAGCGATGGTGGCTGGGTTGGGAACAGGCGTGTTTCTCCTTCCCGCGGTGGATCGGGGCCCAGGCTGCTTCCCGGTGCTTCTGACTTAATATTTTTCTAGAGATTATTTTTAACTCTGGAGAATTGAAGAAATAGTGACAGTGAAGCTTATCTAAGAAATGGCAGATTTAAAAATTTGTCCGTTGCTTATTTAGCATTGATTCTGTCACTTTTATTTCAAAGCATGTGTATGAGGCCTAAAAGAAAAAGAAAAGCCATTCTTTCCTTTCACTTTTCACTGCATTGGGGAAAATGTATGTCCAGCCAGCTGGACATATGGACCTCTCATGGGCGTGAAGTTGTCTGTGAGCGGCTGAGTGGGACCCCGTGCAGACCAGCGCAAGGAGCTTTTGGGGCAGGAAGGACACCGCCTTTCCTGGAGGTGGGTGCATGCCTGGGGAGAAAAGCTCATCACTGACACGAAGTCTAGATGCTCCGATACATTACTCCATCTTAATCTTCACCCTCTTTGGGGTACATATTGGAACCCTGCTTCATAGAGTAAGGAGCAGTTAAAATCACTTCCACAGTGGCATGGCTACAACCTGATACGCTTTACCTCACCACGTTGAGAAGGGCAGGCAAGGCCAAGTGTGGCCACACGTGAGCCTGGCCTATTCCGCTTGCCAGACATCCAACCGAGTGCAGATGACCTGAGGTCTTGGTTTCCACCTGCCCCATCCTGACAGGTCGGGGCAGGGAACATCTCTTTTGAGGGGCTGTAGAATTGAAGCAGCCAGACACCTTGCTCTGTTGCATTGTGTGTGGTGGGCACTTGGAAAATGCCACCTGTTTTGTTTTATTACTGGTTCGGCACACAAGGTGCCATCTTAAAGCGTTTGGTCCTGTGTGGGGGTTTTGCAGGTTGGAGAAGTGTGACCCAAGCTGTGGTGCAGTGGAGATTGCTGGCCAGGGTGATGCTGGGAAGTGGCATGTGGAGGCTGGGACACCAGTGAGGAGCAGTGGTGTGCTGATGGCCGCAACCGGGTGGGAGTGTGTGGACGATGGCGGCAGAGAGAAGGAAGAGACTCTGAGGGTCTGTCCTGAGTGTGTGGTGAGGAGGAACACACAGACCGCCAGGCAGCGCTGGGGCTGAGGAGGAGTTTAGGCCTCATGTGCAGGGGTCCAGTGCCTTTGTGGCAACCAGCCAGAGCTCTTGTTGGGAACTAGGAGTCACACTGAGAAGATGGGAGCTGGAGCTGAGGCACCGTCAGCAGGGAGAGCAGCAGTCAGGAAGGGTTTGAGAGGTAGCAGGTCTCCCGTGACTACCGAGGAAGTAGTTCCACTCGGCTTGGAACGTTGCAGAGAGCTTAGGGCTGAGGAATGATGAACATGCAGTAGAAGGAGGAAGTGCAGACTGTGTGTTCCAGCAGCTTACAGAGTGGAGGAGGGGAGCCGGTGTGTAGAGGTCACAAGTGCATTAGGTCCTGCTCCTTCAGAAAACTCCACACCACCCTCTGTAGTTCAGGAGTTCCACGTGTCAGTTTGCTGTTGCTATAACACAACACCACAGACTGGTTCATTTATCCAGAAAAAACATGTATTTCACAGTCTGGGAGGCTGCGTTGTCTGAGATCAAGCTGCCAGCCTCTGGTAAGGGCTTTCCTGCCACACCACACCACAGCGTGGCAGAGGGCATTGCACAGGGAGAGCTTGTGAGTGCTGGAGTGGAACTGAGGGAGCATCCTCTTTGTCACTCCTGAGATGTGTGTAACCCATTCCTGCTGGTCACCCTTCAATTCCCAGCTCTCTGTACCATCCTAATAGCAGTTAGATTTCAACCTGAGTTTGGAGAGGGCACTTGTCCCTAGCAACATTCCCTAACATGCAGGCAAGGCTGGAATTGCCCTGCCTTGCCTTGACCGCCCCAGCGGTGCTGTGGCCATGAAGAGCTATTGAGCTAGTTCTTGTCTTGCGGCCTCCTTCCCCCAGCCAGGCCTTGCCTCCCTCCTTTCCCTTGTCAGAGAGGTCTTGGCTTCCACAGTCTCTCTGGAAACCTTCCTTTGTTACCACATCTGAAGGGACATGCAGCCCTCTCCCTTGATTATTGTTTCATAGCACTTGTTACTGCCTGAAATTAATCTTTCCTTCTTTTGCCTGCCCTACTTCTTTCTTATAGTGGGGTTTGACACACTGAGCTCCATCTGCAGCCTTTTTTATTTATGTTTGTTTGTTTGGTACTGGGGATCAAACTCAGGTCCTTGTGCTTGCGAGTCAGGCTCCGGAACCACTGAGCTAAATCCCCAACCCTTTACTTTTTATTTTGGGATAGGGTCTCACAAGTTGGCCAGGCTGGGTGCAAACGTGGAATCCTCCTACCTTAGCCTCCCAAGGTGCTGGGATCGCAGGTGTATGCCATTCACCCAGCCACTGCCTGCCATTTCATCTGTGTGGTCTGTCTCCTTCCATGTGTCCTCCTCACCAGTCTCTCGTGCCTGGAGCTGTGTCTCACATTGCTCTGTGGAAGTGAGTGCCTGTAGGGGTAACAGCTGGGGCCGGAGAGCCCGAGGGAGATGGGGAACCCACACCTTCACAGCAGCAGCAGGAGGAGGGAAGAGAGATGGGGGGGTCGTGATGCTGACGCAGGGGTCCTCTGGAGTGGCCCTGCTGTGTTGGGGGTGCCGGCAGTGCTAACCAGTCCTTGGGCTCCAGTTACAGTGGTCCAGGGACTGGAAGGGTCATGGAGCCTGGGCTTAGAGGAGCCATGGTGAAAGCTTTTTCTCTTTAACTGTTGTGCCTTCGGTCCCTTGCCTTTCACAGGAAGCTCGCGTGAGGCGTCACTCCCTTACACTCTTTTTGAGGAGTTTTTGTTAAAGACACAGGTGGGTGGTTTCTGGGGAGCAGAGGGTCGCTGGGATCAAGCTGTAGTTGTGGGTGTGCAGCCTTCCATCCTCCAGGCAGCCTCAGCCCCGAGCCCAAGGTCCCCTGTCATCCTGGTCCTATGTGGAGCTGCACAAAGGCTTTTGGCTTTTCAGGCTTTTACTTCAGCTCACGGAGTCTCAGCAGACGTCGTTTGCTTTGGAGAAGAACTTAAGAACTCAGCAGGAAATTGAAGACAGAATGAAAGGGTTCCACTTCCCAGAGGACACCCTCCTGCGGGTCACTGAGGTGAGTGTGGCACTAAGTACTTTGGCAAAACCAGACCCAACCTCATCCCAGCACTTCTGTCTCCCTCCATCTGGTGCCTTTTGAGGCTAAGTGACCTCCTCAGCCTTCAGTCCTCACTTGCCTTCACCTTCTGTGAGAGAACAAATGTGCTGTGGGGCTCGGCGGAGGGCCATGGCTGAGGTCAGGTCTGAGCAGGCAGCACTGACTGCAGCCCGGAGCTCCCTTTGCTCCGCCTGCTCATGGCTCTGGTGGCTGTGGAGAAACACAAATGCCATTTTAGTTTATTATTTTTTTGGTACCAGGGATCAAACTTGGGACCTTGAGCTTACAAGGCAGGCGGCAGAACCACTGAGCTGTTGCGAAAGTTCACTTGGGCCTTTCCCAGCAGTTTTCCCCTTTCTTCCTACAGCTTTGCAGCTGTGGACTATTCACTTTTAAATCCTTTTCCTTCTCAGAGGCTTCATTGCTGTTTCTCCCCTGTATTTCTTCCATGTACTTTAATTTTGTTCCTTTTTTTTAATGTCACTTTTATAAGTTTCCTTTCTCCCTCTCTCTTACTCTGAGTATATACACTTAGGTATGTTTAAAACATTCTGTGCCTACCTGTAGGTATACTGTTTGTTGCTCGTACTCCTTTTAACGTGCAGCGGCACCGACCCTGCTCAGTGCTCTCCCACCATCACCATGGTATTTCCAGTTTTCGTCTTGCGAACAGAGCTACATCCATCAAACAGCACCTTCCCTTCCCTCCTCCTGCCACCCAGGGATCCTCTGAGCTCTTTCTGTCTATAAATTTGCCTATTTTTGATATTTAAAATAAGTGGCCAGGCTTGATGGTACACACTTGTGGTCCCAGCACGGGGTGGGGGGTGGGGTGTGACTGAGGCAGGAGGATCACCACGAGTTTGAGGCCAGCCTGGATTACATAGTGAGTTCAAGTCCAACCTGAACTACATAAGAAGCCCCTGTCTCCAAAAAAAAAAAAAAAAAAAGAAAG